AAATGAGCTGGATGCACTTTGCAAGATTGCAGCCTTGACAAAGTTCTGTTTTATCTCCATGCTGTGTGTTACTATGGATCTTAATCCCCGAGTTGTCAGTCTGACCTCCCGAAGAGAGTTGTGAGAGGTTCTTCACCTCTCTCTAGGGCCCTGATGAATTATGACATCTGCCTGATCAGATCTGACGGTTTACAACATTTCCATACTGAAGTCATTCAATGAACACCTGATATAAAGCAGAGCAGTGATTATTTCCAGCCCTTCTCAAAAACAAAAAGAAATAGCAGATTGCTATGGAAACTTCTGGACAGCTGGAACTTCGTGTCTAGTGCAAGAACTGAAGCACATCTGTCCTGCATTATGTCGATATAAGCTTCACATTAGACCTTCTGAATGCCTGTGGATGATCAATACCTTGGGCAATATATATTGATTCTTGAATCTTTTTTTGAGTCATTTCTTTTTAAACGTTTCTATGAAAGTGTTTCAAAATGATATCATTATTCAAAAAATATTCATTGTAAAATGTGTACACGAGTTACCTTACTGAGCTATTTCTACCTGATCTAAACCATTATTGCAATAGTGTAACCAAATTTATTTAGGTTCAATTTTGGTATTTTACTTCTAAGTATATATAAATATAAGATCCTAGATAATTTTTGTTTTAATCACGGATATGTTGTGTGGTGTATTAGTGGAGGTGATGATCTGTGTTGTGTATATACATGAAAATTGTCTAGTATTTAAATGGAAATGATTGAATGATTTTAGTAACTGATCATTGGCTAATGAACGATGACATCAATATAATTAGTGATTTGTAAAGTGGGTGGAAGGATTGAATTGCTTTGCATACTGAGGAAGGCATTGAGTGGAAACGTTTGTGTCTTTTCCCATTAACGATGAATGTAAAATAAAACGAAAAAAGAAGACTGTTTTCGTGAGTGCGGATCATAATCTCCTACACTAGGTATTTTACTTCTTGCAATCAATCTACTCAGCCACAATAGCAATTTAGTTGAATTGGCATTTTCCACTTAATTATAATTTTACCAAAAACTTCCTGCAAAACGTCTCAGGTTACATATGTAACCATGGTTTCCTGAGTAGGGAACGAGACACTAGGGCCTTTCGCACCGCGGGAACCTTTTCATATTACCAGAACTAATTGTGGAACTACCCACTTTTGGGCGTTTTCGCACTGCCGGAACTGGGTGCGATTTTAGTACCGGACTGCCTTTTTTGAGAACCAAATTAGCTCCTACTCCGGAGCAGGGTCTAACCAGCACAACTGGTACTAATCGTGATGCAATTAGACATTGATTGGCCAAACGCGTATGGAAACGCCCTCACCCGCCATGATTTAAAACGCCGTGTAAACGTACTGTAAACATTGTGTCAACTTATTTTGCAAGTATGGAGAACAGCGATAGATGGACAGACGCTGAAGTGCAGGCACTTGTAGCAAATGTAGCACTGCCAGTTGTCCTTGGAGATTCTTAGTCCTCCTTTTCATTCTTTCAATCGCTTTACGTACACGTCGAAATTCCATGTCCATTATTGTGAAACCTGCGAGACACAACAAAAGCAGCTCCGATCACAGCGTCCTCCATCCTTCTGTTAATGTTGTTCTTCTTTGTTTCTGTTGTTGAACGCCGCGCACAAATGACGTCGCTGTCGACCGGCTTACGTCATTTCTTAGTACACACTGTCGGTGTGAAAGCAACCCTTTAAATGGTACTGAGAAATAGTTAGTGCAAAATCGTCCCAGTACTTTAGTACTGTACATTTAGTTCTGGAACTAAAGCGGTGCGAAAGGTCCTATTGGGGAAGTCGTGGCCTAATGGTTAGAGGTTGTGGGTTCAAGTCTCGTACCGGCAGGGATTGTAGGTG